AGTTATAAAGACAAATAAATATAAATTAGCGTGTATTACATAGACATTTTTAAATTTAAATGCTTTCAAAAATATTTTTGTCTATGTATACATTCTAGATGGAGAGAAAACTCTCCCATTATATAATATATTATTACAAAAGTCTTACATAGTAGTTTTATAAGATAAATATATACGTCTTCTTCCCCCAAGGGGTGCGGAAAAAGGATGATGTGGAACTAGACACTAGATTGTACTATAGTTCAGACTTCATAGATTTTTGTTCAGACATAAAATAGATAATAACTTTTACACCATGTTTTGCGATGTTTCGTTGCACCAGTTATCTCTCTTTTTAATGATAAGAATTCTAATATATCCCACTCTTGTAGAGATGTTGACTGATCAGTTTAATGAACTATTGATGAACAATGATGAAGATAATGTTCCATTGTCGAGCTCAAAGGTTATGACAACTAGCATCGAAGAGGTGACTGAGCAATTGAATCAAGTGTTGATGAGTGATTATGAAGAAAATGCTCTATTCTCAAGATTGAAAGTTTCAAAGTCGATCACCGGGAAAATTGAGCAAAAGCCGAAAAAACAGAAGAAGGATTGTGAGGAAATGCCAGTTAAAAATATACCAAAGTTAGAGTGGAAACCAGAGGATTGCGCAAATGTAATTGGTAGGATGGTCAAGTTTACTGGTGGGGAGGGAGAAAAGAAGAAATGTCATTACGAGACATTTGAGTTTCATGGCAAAAAATATGGACTGGTAAGTTTTGTTTTTCCTACGACTAACTAATTTAAATGGTTTTAAAAAAGAACTAGGAAAAAGCTAAAGAAAGTTTTTTTTTTTTTTTAATAACGACCAATCCTTTCAAAATCAAGGAATATACCATTTCTCGATTTAGGATTCATAAATTAAAAAATTTGAGATTAGAGTGTATGCTTTTGGATATCGTAATCTTCTTCATTTGATATTAAATAAGGTTGTTTTGGCTGTTTTATGTTGCCAAAAGATTGACAACATTTTTTAGTATGTTGGCTAAAATCTTTTTTGAACTTTTCTTTTGATAAGTTATTGCCTGAATTTTGTTTTTAAATACTACTCATTCTTTTTAAATAAAACAATATCATTTTACGGAAATTTAAAATAAAATCTGGTTTCAATATAAACATAATATAATTAAGCGTTTCACTTTTTTGTCAATTCCATTTTATATATACTAAGCGTTTCATTTATGATTTATTAATTAATAAAGAATGAAATTAGTTGACTCATATTTAAATATTAGTGGCGTATTAATAAAGACCAAAACAACTTTTTTTAACATGAGTGAAAAGTCTATGACGACACTTATGTAATGAAATGAAAATATAATCAGTTACATTATAATTTGTTCTTGTTTCTTATGAATAGGAGAGTTCAGTGCTATTGGTTCCCGAAGACATAAACCAAAAGCCCTATGTTGCGATCATAAAGGTTAAAACTTACAAATAAAAAACAAGCGGAAAATTGATATGATTTCAGTTTTCTCCTTATCATGATCAAATTAATTATTTCTTTGACAGGATATTTATATACAAGGAAAGGAAGGATATGTGATGCTTGAAGTGCAATGGTTTTATCGTCCGGAAGATGTTGAGAAAAAAATTATTGGAAACAAGGAATTCAAAGATTCTAGATATCTCTTCTACAGTTTCCACCGTGATGCTGTGTTTGCTGAATCTGTGAAGCACATGTGCATTGTGAATTTCGTGCCAGAAACTAAGCAAATCCCAAAACGTAGAGAGCATCCCGGTTTCATCGTTCAAAATGTTTATGATATCATGAAGAAGAAGGTGCGGAAATTTGATGGAAATGACTTTAGCGAGATCCAAAGAAATGAGATTGATATGCTTGTGGCAAAGACGATTTCGCGAGTTGGTCATCTTCCTGACATTGAAAAGGAGCAACAAACTTTGAAGTCGAAGCGTAAACAATATGTTCCGAAAAGATTTATCATACCAGTTGAAAAGACGAGCCATGCAAGTAGTAATGTGGTTAGTGCACCGAATTATAGGTCAACTTTGGAGAAGTTTGATATGTTAACTTGTGCTTTGGATCGTAACAAGAGATTGGAGGAGCTTCTGGAAGCAGTTAAGCACAAGTGTCGTGTAACTAAAAAGAAGAAGGAAGCTAGAGATTATGATTTTTTTTGGCCAAATGATGTTGTTCATGCGGTGAGTGCTCTTGAGCAGGCCATATATGATTCTTTGGCAAATGATATACCAAAGTATAATCACGAGTTTGAGATTCTGGTTGATCAACTCAAGGTTAGTAAATTCTTTTTTCTCCTTCATTCTTTTTTTTATTGTTGTGTCCGTTGTTGATTTTTTTTTTAAGCATGTCCTGCTTAGAAGACTTAAGTTTTGCAATTATCACATTAGATGACATATTTTGGTTTTGCAATTATCCCATTAGAAAATATGACATATTTTGGTTTGCGAATTAATGGTGAAAAAGATCTAATATGTTAAGTTTAATAGAAAACAAAAAAATTGTGCATCGATATTTGGTGATTGAGCTTCGCATTTAAAATTATATAGGACTCGAGTATGAATTAATCTACATAAATTTCAGAGATATTATGAGATCGACGATAGTCCTTGTAAAATCTAGACTAAAATTCTTGTTTGTATTCGTGTAGAAGTGTTTCCAGTTTCTATTATATATATATAGATGTTGTGTTTTGAGTTTTTTTGTTTGTAGAACTCGCGACTACTAGCTGCACGTCTTCTTAATGGAGAGTTAAAACCTGAGCTAATTATAACGATGACCCCCTATGAGCTAACGGTAATATCTCTTATTTTATTTTTATTTTTTGAAAATTTGATGCATATATTAAAATGAGGCAAGAGAGCCAATGTTTTACAAAGCCTACTCTAGGAAACAACCCAAGTGTACGTTAAAAAAAAAAAAAACAACCCAAGTGTTGAAAGAACCCAAACTTAAACGAATCTGTAATTTCTCTTATTCAACTACATTCTTTATACATTTCTAAATTTTAAGGTTATTTTTGGTTTTGTCTACATTATCACGGTGAGACCTCAATCTCAATAATTTGTTTTAGTGAAAATAAAATATTTGTTCCTATTGAGGTTATAAACATGAATCTTAAATGATTTTAAATATTTATCAGTAGTGACTAAGATTAGTTTTCTTTCGTTTTTTGGGATCAGCGTGGTCGAATTTTTGATGAAATGAAGGCTGATATCGAAGACCGATATATTGAAGGAGAAGATCCATCCACCTCCAAAAGCTCTTAAGAACATAATACTTCTCGATGATCAACGAAGATAATTGATAGTATCTATATCTTCTTCTTGTTTATCTAAAATCTCTAGAAGAACTTTTTTCTAAAGTTTAAAAAAAAAAGTTATGATGTAAATTATCTAAAATTCAATAATTCAAGTTTAGATATTTTTATAGTCTTATTGGTAGCAGTTTACAAAAAAGAGTCTCATTGGTAACATGGGTTTAGAATGTATTTAATTAAGTTATGAATCAAAAACAATATCAGTTATGTTGTTTGTTTGCGATAATTTGCTTTCTATTAGAACAAAAACAAAACTATAGCCACCGAATAATTACAAAAGCGTAATAGAAATTTTATCAGATGTCACTTTTGTTGAATCTTTCTTAAAAAATATCATTAACCTAAATTTTTTCAAAGACTATCATTTTTTACAAACTTATAGAAGAGAAATTTGGTAAATTTGATGGCTATGGAAAACTTTTTACCAAAAGACATAACAAAGGTATAAAGGTGTGAAATGATATTCATATATGTCGAGAAATTTGATGGCGATACTTTTTTCTTTCTATGAAGATTATATTATATGAGAAGAAAATTAGGATATTTTGGTAGATATGATCAAGATCATATTGAGGATACAAATATGTAAAACAAACGATAGCAAAACAGTAAATTAGTGGTACTTTTTGCATGTGATTAGATTAATAGTGTGATATTATTTAACATAATGTGAAAACAATGTTTTTTGAAACAAGACATGTGATATAGTCGTCAGAACATATTTACCATCTTACTGTCCGTAAAATTTAAAAATAAATGACCAAAATAGGGTCATTTGTTAAGTTTATTGCAAATTACCATATTCATATTTATTTGGTCATTTATTTCAAATTTTTGATAATCCAAGTAAAAAAAAGAATGAAAGAGTTTTTTTTTTTTGGTATAAATGTTAAATAAAAATGAAGGAGTAATTAGTTTGCATAAGCCAAACAAGAAACAAATATGAAGAAAATAATATTTTTACATGTAAAAACAAACTAAACCGAACAGTAATTGTTGATGGTGATTACATCGTGATTAAGCTTTAACCAAAAAGATCTCATAAACCAATTTTTGTAAATCAACGGTTACATTTTGTTAACGGCTCGTTGAAATTTGAATTTTCAATTTTTTGAAATGGGCCCTTTGCTTGGGCTTTTTTCCTTTTTTCAAATTTGAACTTTCTTCTATTTAACGGAGAAGAAAAAAAAAAACAGTCATTTGTAAAACGAAAACAAGATTAATAAGAAAAATTAGCCGTTTGAAGAAAAATTAGCTTCGCCTATGTCTTCTTCTTCACCTCTGTAATCTGAATCCGAATTCGACTTCGAAGTTGTTGAATACAGGTTAGTCTCAATCGAAGTTTATTGAGTTTTTAATTTTGTTCTGTTTATTTTCGCTTTCTTCTTCGTCGTCCATTTTTTCTCTTCTCGATCGGGTAGATATTGAGATTAGGTTTAATTTCAAATTAGAACTTTCTATTTAGCGGAAAAAAACCACTTGTGATTTCAAAAGAGCTTTTGCATGTGTCTTCTTCTCCACCGATTCTGAATCCGAATTCGATTTTGAAGTTTTTTGTGATTTTGTTATTGAATACTCATATACGGCTAGTCTCAGTCGAAGTTTATTGTGTTTTTCTTAGAAATTGAGATTATAGGTTTTACTCTGATCAGGTTTAATTTGAAATTGGTGATTGCAATTTCTTCAAATCATAGAGTTACGATTACTTATATACATACCTAACTCGATTCATAATATCTATGGCGATTTTGTAGCCGCAAAATTTGTGAAGCCCAAGGAGGAGAACGTAGCCTCCACTTCAATTCATTGAAAAAAGGTGCGATCTCTTAATTTTTGTTCTTCATCACGGATATATCTGATCAATTTAGGTTTTTACGTACGGATCTGATCTCTTGTGTAAATTTTTGGTTAGTTGATTAACTCGAAATCATGATGGATTCTGTACACCGTGAATTCTGATCCCAAGTTAGTTCTCGATCAAAAATTTAGAGTGGTGACAGTACTTGATGTTTTGTTTCATAAGTGCAGGGTAAGTCATAATTGGGAGTGAGAAAATCTATGGAGTTGGTTTGGTTACTCATTTATATGGAGTTTTCGAGTCACTTTTCTTCTATACTAGCAAATTCCATATCCTATAATTTCTGGTGTATCCTAGAAACTCAGAAACCAGAGAAATTTTGTATGGATTGTTCACAATCACTTAAAGAATGC